CTGAAAGGTTAGTCTACATCTTTATGGGGTTAAGTCACACTCAGGTGAGTCCATACCATCCTAGCCACTGAGGATGTAGAAGCCCTCTACACCAACATTCCACACAAAGATGGACTACAAGCCATCAGGAACGGTATCCCCAATAACATCATGGCAAACCTGGTGGCTGAACTTTGTGACTTTGTCCTCACCCACAACTATTTCACATTTGGGGACAATGTATACCTTCAAGTCAGCAGCACTGCTACCGCATGGCCCCACAGTATGCCAACATTTTTGTGGCTGATTTAGAACAACACTTCCTCAGCTCTCATATCCTAACGCCCCTACTCTACTTGCGCTACCTTGATGACAACATCATCATCTGCACCCATGAAAAAGAAGCCCTTGAGGAATTCTACCAGGATTTCAATGATTTCCAACCCACCATCAACCTCAGCCTGGACCAATCCACACAAGAGATCCACTTCCTGGACACTACAGTGCTAATAAGCAATGGTCACATAAATACCACCCTTACCGGAAACCTACTGACCGCTATACTTACCAACATGCCTCCAGCTTTCATCCAAACCACATCACACGATTCATTGTCTACAGTCAGGCTTAACTGCATTTGCTCCAATCCCTCAGACAGAGACAAACACCTACAAAATCTCTATCAAGCATTCTTAAAACTACAATACCCACCTGCTGAAGTGAAGAAACAGATTGACAGAGCCAGAAGAGGACCCAGAAGTCACCTACTACAGGATGGGCCCAACAAAGAAAGTAACAGAACTCCACTAGCCATCACCTACAGCCCGCAACTAAAACCTCTCCAGCGCATCATCAAGGATCTGCAGCCTATCCTGAAGGACGATCACTCACTCTCACAGACCTTGGGAGACAGGCTAGTCCTTGCTTACAGACAGCCCCCCAACCTGAAGCAAATACGCACCAGCAACCACACACCACACACCAAAAACACTAACCCAGGAACCTATCCTTGCAACAAAGCCCGTTGCCAACTCTGTCCGCATATCTATTCAAGGGACACCATCATAGGGCCTAATCACTTCAGCCACACCATCAGGGGCTTGTTCACTTGCACATCTACCAATGTGATATATACCATGTGCCAGCAATGTCCGTCTGCCATGTACATTGGCCAAACCGGACTGTCTCTATGCAAAAGAATAAATGGACACAAATCAGACATCAAGAATTATAACATTCAAAACCATTCAGAGAACACTTCAACCTCCTGGACATTCAATTACAGACCTAAAAGAAGTGGCAATTCTTCAACAAAAATACTTCAAAAGCAGACTCCAACGAGAAACTGCAGAACTGGAATTAATTTTCAAACTGGACACCATCAAATTAGGCTTGAATAAAGACTGGGAGTGGATGGGTCATTACACAAAAAAAAATTATTTCCCCATGCTCATTTGTTAGTCTCTAAGGTGCCACAAGTCCTCCTTTTCTTTTCCCCCTACTGTTACTCACACCTTCTTGTCAACTGTTTGAAATGGGCCATCCTGATTATAACTACAAACGTTTTTTTTCCTCCTGCCCACCTTAAGTGATTTGTCGTTAGAGTTGGTATGGCAACTCCCATCTTTTCATGTTCTCTGTGTATATATCTTCCTACTGTATTTTCCACTCCATGCATCTGATGTAGTGGGTGTTAGCCCATGAAAGCTTATGCCCAAATAAATTTGTTAGTCTCTCAGGTGCCACAAGTACGCCTCATTCTTTTTGCTGATGCAGACTAACATGGCTACCACTCTGGAAACCAAGGTTCTAGGTTGTCTCAGAATAGCTCTTGCCATTCTAGTAGTAATACTAAAGCCCTGACTTACAAAACCAAGGAAGTTCAGAATTAAGACTGATACCACAATGTTTTTATGTCCCATTGAGCCCAATTATTATGGCATGTAGCATCTCTCATTAAAGAGGTAATGTAATGATGGGATATCTGACCAAGTTTTCAGTTTCCTTCTCTATTACCTTACATCTTGTGTAGTCATTTACAACATGCAAAGTGAGAGTGCCGTGTGTGTAAAATGGAGTGGCAGTATTTTTTCAAGGTGCAAGGCAATGGAGAATTAGGTTGTATAGTGCATCCTATATACTTGTCAACACATCCAATGCATTGTAGAAAAATTCCTAATAAAGGCTGTAACAGCATGAAGTTAGATAATACCTTTATTTTGCCTTTACATTTCAAGAAAGAGAACTTGTGTCATGATTAAAATAAGATAGTCACGCTGACCATTTCAGATTTCTGTTTTTGTATATTTCTTCTCCTTTCATTATTCATACTAATCTCAAAACCTTTCTTTTCAAGAGAATCCTCATAGATATGAGTATCTGAGAAAGCAGCACAAAACAGAGAAGAAACAATAAAACATGAAAAGGATAAATGCTCTTCATTCAGAAAAATCAAAAAGTCATAGAAAAGGTCAAAACTTTAAATGTTTCAGTCAAATTCATTGACTATACAAACATTTAGAAATGCAGAAACCACTTCAAGGAATAATCATCATGAGAAATGAATTAGGATAAAAAAAACAGGGGCTAAAACTGATTTTATGATAAAAGATCATTAAACCTTTTCTCAGACTGCATTTTTGGAATAAAAGTGTAGAGATTTAGCTAAATAATGCAGATGGGTGAAATTTCAGAAGCAGTTGGCTTTACCATGAGACAGCAATTTAGAACAATGAACAGCCTGTCAATTCTCCTTATTCACTTGGTTTTAGAAAGTGGGCTAGTGCTGCCTATTATGGAGGCACCTTAAGCTGATCCCTTACCATTTAATATCAACAAACCCAAGCAAGACAGTTAGATTAGCAGCAAAACACCACCTGTTCGTATTAATATGACATATAATTGAAGTCTAATACATTCCAGTAACATATTCAGGATCTTTTTTTTTTTATTCACACCCTTTGTCTGTGTCTGAGAAACAGAAATGGAGTTCTGAACTACTGTAGAGCTTGGTACAACCTGGCTCAGAGCTCCTGCGAAGACTCACAAGAGACAATGAATCAATGTGAATACTAGGGCAGTCAAATATTAGGTGAAGCTATTGCTGCCCTTCCCACTTGCACTTTCACCAAGAAGAATGAATGGGTTGCCTTAATAAGCTTCCATCTTCCGAGTATAATGTAGCATCTGAGTGGATTTCCGAATCAAGGTTGGCTGAAAACAACCTTACCTTAGACTGTACATCAAATGACTGGTATTGGTTTGAGACAACTGGTGAATAGGAGACAAGTGATTAGTAGCACTACATGAATGTGTTAGTTCTGACAGCTTATATAGTTGCCATTAAGTTCATTACTGTTCAGTCACATTAGTATCTTCCAGATGTGACTGTCCTCTGTCTTGCTTTCCTGTCCTTGGACTGCAATGAAGAGAAGAGAGAACACTTCGAATGAACTGACCACAGGTTGAGAATGTGTCAGCTGTCCACTCTCTCCCCTTCTGAATGCCTAGAACAGCTCACACGGCTAGCTCCTGAATGATAGATTAAGATCTGCTTCTGGTATTCCTCTTCTAGCAACCCTGATGGAGAAGTGAGTTGTTGATTGACCACAGTCCACAACAGTGTGCCCCAGGCTTGTATCTCTTGGCAAATTTTTCTGCACCAGCCATGAATGAGAGCCAGGACTAAGATCTTGGAGCTGAATCACTTTCTCTATATCAGTATATGGGACTAATCTAACAGTGACTCTGGTTTAGTAGATGGATATATATACACACACACGAACATTTGTTTAAAATCTTAAAAAAAAAAAAAAAAAAGTCTCTGGGTGAGTTACCTGAATTGGGCAGGCCAATTGTGACTACATGTAGCCTGTGATGCATATGAATCTTCGGGAAAGGGATTGTAAGAAGGTGCACTATTTTATTTTATTCCATTTAAATATCAAATTAAGAAGTACCTAATCTGATTCATTTGGGGCAAATATTAAATATAATCCATAGAAGCCAGCTCGTCCAGCAACTTATTCCCCCCATAATCAAAATTAGCCAGAAAGAATAAATCAGCAACACTCCATCCTACTCACAAACATCTATGCTTACCACACCCCTCCAGTTAGATAGTTTAAGCATTCTTATGTCTGATAAAGAGAGGTCCAGCATATGGCTTGGATAGACATTTTCATTCACAATTTTCTCTTTCACCCAGTTAAGATGTATGTGTGAACAAGAGAGGAGGAACAACAAGAAATGATGCACATTTTTCTACCTCTTCATTTGGTATTAGCCCTTTTTTTCTTTGTACATCACCACATCCATATTTTTTGTCTTCAAAAGAACTGGTTTTACTGCATTATTTATCCTAGGAATTATCCACAGAAGAAGCTATTATTATGTTTTTACAGTACCTAGTGCACTTGGGTTCTAACCTGATTTGCTTTTTCGATCATTCCACAATATAAATATTAAACAATAGTAAGATATAAATGAAATTTAAAATTAAAATCTAATTGCATTTAAGAGGATTATTTCCTATTAGGCAAAATTTACATTTTTAAAATGGTTATTCCTGATTTTCATTGTTTATCCTTTTATTTTAAGTGTTGGGTCCTACATTTATTAGGCTTTGCGGAACTTGAAAGGTTCTTATGTTTTCCAGTTAGAGAAGATCTTCTGTTGAATGTATTTTATATTTGGATATTGATGATATAAAGCGTGAATTCAGGTGCCTCACATATCCTCCTTTTATGCCATTCTTCAGAACTGGCATGATACAATCAAACATGAAAAAGAATTTTTGGTTTACATAATAATGAAGCTGGGAGGAAGAGGAAAATATTAATAGCACTGGTTGATTTATTCGACACTTCATGAATTTGATTAAAAAGGAAAAAAACTTAAAAGGGCACCTTCTTAGTGACAGTTGAGACAAAGAGATTAAAGAACATTTCTGACTGGATTCTTCCTCAGATCATAATAAGAGGGCTTGTTGCAGCAGTATGACCAAGAATGTGTTTTCTTACCTGAAGCCCAACACTGTCTGCTTGTCCACTTTAATTGAGTTGGGAGATAAAGAGGCCACAAGTAAATTCCAGTCCTCCTCGGACACTTATTCCAAGCCCTTCAGGATGCAAACGATCCAGTCTCACTTCCTTCAGCTTTCTTGTAAATGTGGAATGTATCGCAATGAACAACAGTATGACAAGTTGTGACAACTGAAGCTTCATTTTAAGTATTTAAGTTACTGCTTAAAATATTTTCAGTTGTCATGCTTAGACCTGAAAAGAGAATATGTGACTACTATTTTCAAATAGACACATTTCAGTCCAAACAATAAATTCAGTCCCCAAAGAACTACATCTAAGACAACTCCAGTGTCTGTGATAGCATGCACAGGATATAGATATTTTATTCATCAAATACGGCTGAATAAATTACTTTTCAATCAAGGATTCCTGCTTGTGTTCATGTGACCTACATTGTTCTACATGTACCTTGATCGCTTAGGCGTCAGCTGATCATATTCCACCTGATGTTTTAATGGGATAAGGGGACGGATGGCGTCAAACAGCGGCAATCTACTTGGTTCATTAATCACAAGCTTTAGGTCCCCTACCAGTACTGGGAGATTCATGGATCTATAAAAATACATTGAGAAAACTGGACTGGGTGATCAAAATATTAACAAGATTATATTTGCTGTTTGTACCCCATACTAAGACTGGATTTTATGAGAGAGAGAGATTTGCTTAAAAGGTTCTTTTATGTAGTTCAAGACCAACCATAAGCAATGGATATGCTTTTCCTGTACCATTTAAAAATAAAACTAGTGTAAGACATTTTTCTAATTCAAGGTAAATTCATGTCCACATAGTCTGTGTCACTTTTTAATCCCAATGTCTTGTCACCACTGTAAGGAAGACATCTTGAAGTTAGCTTTTATTCCTCAGATACCAATAGACCTATGTAAACCTTGGACATGACATTCAAAAAGCAGGTAAATCCTCTTCACCAGGGTTTTAGATTTATTTCAACTCCCAAACTCTGGTCCATGACGGTAAATCCTTTTTCGTGAACCATAGGTCATGTTGTTAGCAAACCTCTTCTCTCCATGAATCGGGAGACAGATGTAGTTGTAATCCCAAAAGCCACATAGGAACTGAGCAAGTTGCACATGTATGCTCTGAATTCCGTGAAATTCAGTGGCGGTGAACGAGGACCTCATCAGGAGGTGGGCAAACTATGGCCTGGCAGGCCACATCCGGTCCCATGGGATCGTCCCTGCCCAGCCCCTGAGCCCGCCCACCTCCCTTCCCCGCTGCTCCCTCTCCCGGCAGCCTCAGCGCACCACACCGCCAGTGCTCTGGGCCATCACTCCTGCTGGACAGCGTGGCTGGGCGGCGGCGGGCTGTGAGCTCCTGCTGCTCTGGAATATACGGTAAGGGGGGGGGGTTGGATGGGGCGCTGAGGTTCGGGAGGGGCAGTCAGTGGGACAGGGAACAGGGAGGCTGAATAGACAGGAGTCCCGGGGGCTGCCTCAGGGGCTGGGGTGGATAGGGTCAGTGAGTCAGGGAACCGGAGCAGATGGATGAGGCAGAATTTCGGGGGGCATGTCGACGTGGAGGATAGGATAGGGGGTTGGGTCCCGGGGTGGTTAGGGACAAGGAGCAGGGGATTGATGGTCGGGAGTTCTCAGGGGGCAGTCAGGGGTGGGAAGGGAGGCAGGGCCAAGCTGCTCTGGGGAGGCACAGCCCTTCCTACCCAGGCCCTCCATACAGTTTCGCAAGCCCGACGTGGCCCTCGGCCAAAAAGTGTTTGCCCACCCCTGAACTATGTGTAAGACATGCTGAACTATATGAATATGAAAACTGCTTATTTTCGTTTTATCAAATTGCAAACATCTTATTTTCTCTGGCTTATTAATGTTCTTAGTTTAAATTTTGTGCTTATTTTGAATAGTACTTTGGGATGCTCGACATGAATATGCTTTATAATGTATGATAGAGCCAGATGTATTGCCAGATGTTTATGTCCTTTGTTATAAATCTTCCCAACCCTTTCCAGCTGAATAACTCCTGGGTTTATATTTAAAATTTTGCATAGAGTAACATTTAGTCCATTGGCTTCAAATTAATTACTCACATCAGGTTAAATTACACATATAAGTATTAGGAAGATAAGGCCTTAGCATCAATAATATATTAATTCAATATGTTAATATACTGTTAAAGGAAAATGATGAAGATGTTTGAGCTACATGATATGGCCACTCAATTTTATGCACAAGCATACGGGCAATTCAAATGCATATACATTTACGTGTTTACGCAACATAGTTTAAATGTATCTGTGCAATACATGCAATATATTTGAAGACAAGATATGTCGCCAGATGGCTATAAGAGCGTAATTTTTTTAATAGTGCATTTTTTTATTTCAGACAACACATACAAAACAACAATGATATGCACGTGCACATAAATTAATCATAATTGTTTTCGATTAGCTTCAGGGAGAAAGTCTTTAAGCTGTCGTCTGATGGGGGCTTCCTGACTTCGTGTCTTCGCACTCCTTCCTGAGTTACTCTGGTGGTCCAGAGCAAGGGGACTTCATCGACTCTCAAGGTCCGGCCATCCCCCCTCGAGTTACTCCGGTGCCACGCCCGAGTGTCACCTTCAATAATTTCTCTGAAAGCACTCCTAACAAAGGGGCAGGCTGTGGGTGGACGTTAAAATTGGGGGAGGGGACAGACTGAGGTATGAAAGGGACTCTCTAGGTGGGGTGTCCCCAATCAGCGGTCAGGGACAAAGGGACTGATGGGGACACTGGAGCAGAGAACCTTGGACAGCGCCACCACTTCAATCAAAGCATCAAGGAGCCAGTGGACACCGCCCAGAGGAACTCCGGCCCAGGATACGCGAACGAGACTTATGATCGAAAATGTCCCCGACAGTCACATGAAATCGCATCAGCCAACTTTCTCTTCTGGTTTTATAGATGGCCGTTTTAGCCAGGGCCAAGAGGAGGTTAATCTAGGAGATCTCAAGATTGTGAGCGTAAATAAAAAGGGTGAGGGTGCATGCAACTAAAAACGGGTAATAGGAGATTGTGGAGGAGTTGAATACAGGGCTGCAGCTCGGCGAGTCCAAATACACGTGCTTCAGGTCGCACTCCACAAAAAGGGACAAGGCCTGACGGGGTGAATCCGCATCGAAGCACGTGCCTGTGCCCATATCGATGAAGGAGCCATGACCCGGATGCCCCTGACGGCCTGGAACGATGAATATAGGCTGGCTCACCCGGGGGCTGCTCTTACCCTCCAAAGGTGGCAGAGAAGGTCTCTGCGACTTTGTGTCGGGCGGGAGATTTAGGGTGAGGAGACGAGTGCAGAAGATGTTTCTTTGCGCGGTTTGAAGCGTATTTGCTTAAGTTCATGCAGAGCTGCTCGTATGAAGGGTGAGGGATCGATTGGCCTGGTGGCAGGGGTCCATCAGGTCCGCGCCTCTGGGGTAGAGGGGTGGGCGGGGCATGCTCATGCAGGGACTCTGCCGAGGTGTGAGCCGAGAGCGGGCGGGCAAAGCGGCTTTCGCTTCTGGAAGTACAAGGCTGGGGTGAGGTCTGAAGAGCCTGATGTGCCAAAGTAGGCAACAGGAGATCCAGCTGAGTTCCCTGGTCATAGTCCAGGAGGCTCCCGACTTCGTGATTTCACAGGATCAAGTTTCCGGCGCACTCCGAGCGGACTCCGCATCTGCACTGGAGCGAAGAAAAGAGGGGCTCCCCGAGAGATCTACTCTTCGGTGGCCATGACCTGGCCATTAAAACAGTTTCAAGTCCGGAGAAGGTCCTGCAGAAGACGGGCAGCCCGAGAGGTCTCGAGAAGACTTCCCGGACGGAGATAAAAGCTGCTTTGGCTGATGACTGGAGCCCTCGGATGCGCGAGGGCGCATGCGCCAGTGTGTCGTACGCCTAACTGTCGCACCGATAGAGGAGCTCTCTGTAGGGGTTCGGAGGTGAAGACATGGACTCGAGTGTGCAGACATCAGAGGCCCTGTCCTCCTTCCTCCAGGGGCAGATGAAGAATCTGAGGGGGCCCAGTGCATTCTGTCCTTTTCGCAGAACTCGGAGAATCGATGTCCAGAGTGCTAACAGAAACTGGGGCTGGACCAGGGTGCTGAGCGTGGCACAGAGCATGGACATGGGGACTAGTTGGATTAAGACCAGCGCTCTCTCGGGAGGACATCGGAGCAGTCCCGTCCATTGCCAGAGCTGTGCCCATCACCCCGTCCCCACCTTCCCAGTTTTCCGGCGGAAAGGGATGCAGAAAGGCAAACACCGAGGTAGAGCAGCGGACCTCGCCGCCTCCACCGGATGGTCTGAAGAGCGGTGGAGAGCCGGCCACACCAGTCTCCTACTGCCACGAGCTTGACCCAGGCTGACTCCGGGTGGATGAGGCCGCCAATAGATGGCCTAAGCTTTCGACTTCAAGGCGAGCTGCCGAGGTCCCGGATCACGAGGAGCACGCCATCAGCATTACGAGCAGTGACTCCAGCTGCAGCCCGGCCCGCAGCACTAATCGTCACCTCCTGTGGAGGAGACAGAGGACACTGGCGTTGTGAGCGCACAGCCGGTCAGAGAGGGCACCTGGGCTACCCTGCCCTGGGGCTGACCAGTTCTAAGTCAGGTCCAGGTTGAGCTTAACGCAGACATTCTGGAGGAAGCATGAGCACTGAGAAACCGACAACCTGGGGTCCGGCTTTCAACGCCTGCAGAGTGCTCAGGAGGTACCGTGGTCCATTCTACTTGGGACACTTCCTCTGGCCCAGGGACAGGAGGCGAACACAGACCATCTTATCTGAGTCTCCAGGAAGATCCTGAATGGATAACAGGTTATCAAAGACACGTTGAGGTCCCGGACGGTGTAGGTCTGGTCTGGGTGGATTTATCACGCAGCATTATGACTCCAGCCGCACAGATTGCCGCCACGATTTTGTAGTCCATGCTGAGAGCAAGACGGACGCCAGTTTCGTAAATCGCGGAGGTCCCCCTTCTTGG